CTCATCTTTCAAGAACTTCAGATTTTCCATTTGGATAAATTCTAAAGAAAGAAGACGCATTTGAGAGGCAAAAGGTTGATAGGTTAACAAAATAATAGTTAAACAGAGACTGGACACAACAGGATTTAAGGCAGGTGAATTGTATGGTCAGTGTGGTTGTTGGAGGTGTTAGTGTGCTATAGTTACATAATTTATCACATGAGTGTCATCATTGTGGTATATATATATGTGTACACATATGTATATATATGGGTGTGCTTGTATATGCACATGCATATACACGTGCCTACAAGAGCCCTGAAAAAGTTTTCGCGTACATGTTTTCATTAACTTGGAAATACAGGTTGTCCTTTAAGAATGGAGATGCAGAGCTTTATTGATTGCTTCTGTGAAAGGAAACAGGGACGCTTTTCTCTGTGCATAATCGCAAAGTAACATGCAGACAAGTTTCAGTGACTGAACAGCCACTGAGCTTGTCTAAGCTTGTAAGAGAATGAACTTCACTGGAGAGAATGTAGCTGGATTTGTATCTGCAGCGAGTCACTTCAGAAGCTTGTCCTGGCTTGATTGAAAATTCTCCCTCCCCGTTAGGTGGGCGGAGGGTTTTCTTTGCTGTTCAGTTTCTGTTTTCACCCATCTCGTGCTGCTTACTCACCAGCTGAACCTTGATGAGGTCCTGTAAAGGGAAGAAGTCCTAAGCAGTAGTATGTAAAAAATAAAAGGCTAGAGAGGAGATGCTGTTACTAGCATAATGAGAAAACTTATGGCACCCTTACTGTCAAAGTCTATTTTTACGTTGTTTATAAAATTAAATCAGATTTTATGATCAGATCAGAAACCAATATTGTGTAGAAGAGAAAAACAATTCCCCCTGTGTTTATCTTATGGCTTTTTAAAATATCTGTGTATATCAAAACACTACCATAAGTTGGGGCTAGTCAGGAAGTTTATCTTTAAATTTACAATATATTTATGTTGCATTTAAAAGGTGAAAAACTTATCTCAAATGTTGTTTAGCATAAATAGATGCTAAATATGAATTTGAAGCCAAAAAAAGTCACCTACATATTTTATCAGCAATCAAATTTTTAATACAAGTTACATACTTGAGCAGCTTCATTCATCCAGCTGAAGTCATTTCAGATGACCTTTCCCTCAGCAGCTTCTGTCTGAACAGAGTACTGTTCTGCTGTTAATTGTTTTGGACATAGTGTGTGAAAAATCTTAAGGGAGATGAATTTTGTTGTTCAGGGTTCACAGTACATAATTTTTCTTGCATGTTTACTGCTGGCTTGTCAGAGTATATGAAAGAATAAATTTCTCCCACAGATCAACTAATCATGAAAATAGTGTTGAGGTGTTTGATTGACATAGTGAAGCTGTTAATTTAGAGAATATCAAGATCAAATGGAAGCTACTGCAATTAGGAAGTGATTGTGTTCTCAGTTGAAATTTTTAATGCTGCATTTTTGATTTTTGGGTGGTTTTTTGCTGTCTCATGGGTGTATTAGTAAATTTCTATGATTTATTACATTTAAATACTTAATTTTCAACACGATTTCAGTTCAAATGTTAGTTTTTTATAATAGCTATTAACAAATTGATTAGAGAGAGTCACAGTATGTAAAATGTTTCTGTACTCTAAAGGGCTTTGGGGAACAAAGGATTTGGTCATTCTGAGGTTTTGGTGGTTTGCCTTTTTTTTGTTTTGTTTTTTTTTTCTTTTTTTTGGGGGGGGGTTGGTTTTTGTTTGTTTTGGGTGGTTTGTTTTTGTTTTTACAACTTCAGTTCAAAATATTGTGGTAGTAGGCTAAAATCTTCCTGCTCATTTCTCTGTGAATGGCTCCTTTTTGACATGCATGGAGGTTCCTTATCAATGTGTGGTGCTGTTCCGAGATTTATATGTATGAAGTTGTGTTCAATATATCATTTTATAATAAGACCTTCTTTGATACCATGGTGTGGTGCAAATGTTAGAGTTGGTGCTTTCATATCCGTAGTTCTTGAATGTTAATGGTTTGTTTTTTCTTGAAAGCCTTGTTTTTCACTTTTGTTCTCTCTATTGCTTTCTCTTTTTAACATCTACATTTAAGCATATGATACTGAGAGATGATACACAGATTTCTCATGTCCCTAAAATTGCAGACACAGGTATGGTGGTGAAGCAAGCTTGCTTAGTTAAGAAAATCTCTGGATACACCATGAAGTCCCTAAAGAAATTCAGCCATGAGGCAGTAATGGCAGTTTTCTTCCTTGGATGAGTTGAGCAATTTTCTCATGCCTTCAATACTTGTGACCCAGTGCTGAGGCTGCTGTTTTTTATTTTTTCATAAGCATGATCTACTCACTCATGTGCAACTGCTAAGGAGTAGTTGGCTCCAGGATTTGGCCTTTAGTTTCACCTGCACACTCAAGTGTCTGTAGCCTGATATTGACTTATTTCCATATTTAAGATTGCAGGAAACAAGAAAGCATAAGCCTCACATTAAAAACAGTGCTGAGCTGATAATGCAGCTCTTTGGTCTTGCTGAAGAGAAGTAGGGTAGATGCCATTAGCCAAGTCCTTGGGGATGCTTGTGAGCTGTTCATTCCAGTTGCCCCACTGACGTATAGAACTGCACCCCACAGACTGTGCAGGGAAGCAGTTTAGTTCTCTGTCCTGGAAGGGAGATTGCTTTACCTGAAGTTTTGGCAGAATTTTTTGTGGATTAGAAAATACTGGAGAAGGAGGGCAATTGATTCTAATTTATGTTAACAGTAGCAAAGAAAAATCCAATAAGCATACCTGCTTCCTTGGATTAGCCATACATATTACCTTGGATTTATCTCTCTTTTAGCTCAAAAACTTTTATTCCTACCACTATTTATTAAGAATATGACAGTTATCAGTGTTACAGAAACTAAAAGTAATGTGCATCTGTCTCAGATTGTTTTACTCTGCAGCCACTTGACAAAAGATAGATTGAAATGTATGCTGGAGCTAGTGCTTCTGTGAGCCAAGCAGGAAAATAAGGATTGTAATTTTCCCAAAATTTGAGAAACATCTTTTAGATCCAGTATGTTTCAATGGCCACAGTACAACATTCCCTTCCTGACAGCTAGCACTGATCATGCTGTTTTTGTGTGGCCAAAAGATGTGTTTGGACAATGGGATTCATAAACAAGCCATCCATGGCAGTTGCATCAGGGATGTAAATTTTTGGTTGGTTTTGGTGTTTTGTCTTTTTTTTTTTTTTTTTTTTTTTTTTTTTTTTTTTTTTTTTTTTTTTTTTTTTTTTAGATTGATGAACCCTTATGCTTTGTTATAAACAAGGGGGGTCTAGTGCAAAAGGAAGGGCTGGTGAACACATTAAGGTTCATGCTTTTAACAAAATGGGAAAAGATCCTGTTTTTCTTCCCTTGGCTGTTACAGCTCTTTCAGCAGTCTGATTGCCTTCCCATGTGACACTTTCACACTGCATTTCTAGGTCAATGGTGACACAACTAGCATGCTTGTGCCCAAATTGATCATCTCAGTCTGCTGTACTCCACATGGCTTTCACATCTATCTTTGCCATAGTCTGTGTTTGGATTTCAGAAGAGCCTGTCAGCTTTGCATTTCCTCAAGTCTTAAGAAACGGGCACGGCTCAGCAGGCACATGTTAACTTCTCATACATCTTCTCACTCATAGGAGTGAGCTTTGCAAATAGATCAGTGACGTGGGAAAAGTCGGTATAAAATCCGTGTCAGTAAGGGAGGTGACATGTTTGCTAAGATTATGAAAAGCTGGTCAGATTAATTCTTCCAGAGAACTACAAGTGTGGGACAGTAGTGTGCACCTCTTGGTGGGTGTTCTCTCAGTCTTTCTCCTTCATGTGGATGAAAAAAAACCAGCACAAATGGGTTCATGAGCATCATTTTTTTTTTAATTGACACAGTTATAACCAAAAGTGGTTCTCTGTTATAACTGAAGAGAATCAGAGACAAGTGGAGAGTGTCTACTGCAAGGGGTAGGACTGGTGAACAGCCTGTCTCTTCTGTTCCTCCTTTTTGTAGCAGTCTCTTGTGCATGAACACTGCTTCTCAAGGCATGACCACTTGGTCACTTGACAATTGACAATTCTTTGGTCGATGGACAGTTCCTTGGTGTTGTGTCCATACTGCTGCCCAACGAGTGTCACTGCTCTGTGGGGACACTGCAAGGCCCCTGCTCCCAGCCTGCTGGCACTCTGAGTGTGGCAGGAGGTGATGTGAGAGGCTGGGCACTTCTGCTTGTGCAGCTTTTGGAAGCATGGAAGGGTATCACTGCAGATCTCCTTGCTGGGGGCTTGGGCAGGCCTGGGACTATAATTCCAGGTGCTTAAAACCTGGGATTTTCTCAGCCAGAAACTGTGTATGGAGGGCAGCAAAGTTCCAGTGAGGTGGGTAAGAGGACAGGGGTGAAGGGCAGAGCTGGGAAAGACAGAAAAATTGCTGGCAGAGCTGGATTTGATGCTAAGCCTGGCAATAGCAGAGAGATGTGCTGTTGCACATCTCAGCTGTGTAATTTTCTGTTTTTCCTAAGACAGCTAGTTTTAAACAATGAATAATTTCTGAATTTAATTTTCTTGCACTTAGTTTCTCCTATGACTGCAAAGCTCCATAGATGATGATGATATTTTAAAAATTCTGTCAGTTTGCGAGTAAGAAAATATTTCTAATACAGCTCTCTTATGGCTAATGAAATAGCGGCTTACATGTGAGCTGGTATTGATGGCAGATTCAGTAATGACATGTGATTCAATTACTTTACTAGAGAGAGAAGCACTTAGACACAAATGTAAGATATTTCTGAAGCCAGGCGTCTGCTGGAGGTGATTGAAAATACACTATTTCTGCACATTTCTTCACATAATTACTATGGAAAATATTGTGGCACTGTAGTTAAAAGCAGACAGTTTTTAATGCTAAGAGCTGTAAAGGGAAGAGAATTCCCAAAGAGAAATGCTGTTCTATAATCCCATGCTAATCTCCCCAACAGAAAGCAGAAGAAGAAGAGCTTGTCCTCACACCTGATGGCACCCGGGAATTCCTGACATTTGAAGTTCCACTGAATGACTCTGGCTCAGCTGGGCTTGGTGTGAGTGTCAAAGGTAACCGGTCAAAAGAAAACCACGCCGATTTAGGAATCTTCGTCAAGTCCATTATTAATGGTGGAGCAGCATCTAAGGTAAGAGGGAACATCTGTGTACTTTGGTCGCCCTCAGTTTTTTGAGGCTGTTTTGAAAATGACCATAGATCGAAGAAGAGTGAGATTGCTCTGTAACTAGCTTTATCCAGTTATACCATCAGAGGTAACATTCAGATTTCTACTCACATGTTTGCACATCCCAAGATCTAAACAGCCCTGATAGCTTCTCGGGAAGGAACGAGTTGTCTCTGGTACAGTTCAATTAGTATGGTGTTTGAGCAAACAGGTTATGATAATAGCTTGCAGTGCAAATCTGTAATTGGAATAGACGTTTCCTACAGTGGCTGCAATGGAAGCTATTATTCCAGTGTTCATTTGCCCATAAACTCTTAGGACTAAGCATAGATGGTTGATTATTTTCTTTTGTTTTTCTTTTTTCCCCTCTCTTCAGCTTCTTTTGCGTTGGTTTCATAAAACCACGTCTAATTTTTCCTTTTCCAGGATGGCAGGCTTCGAGTGAACGATCAACTCATAGCAGTTAATGGAGAATCATTATTGGGAAAAACAAATCAAGATGCTATGGAAACATTAAGGAGGTCCATGTCCACTGAAGGAAACAAACGGGGAATGATTCAGCTTATTGTGGCGAGGCGAATAAGTAAATGCAATGAGGTAATAAGCTTTTGATGTCAGGACTGGGAGTTTTCACTTCTATGGTGTTTGTGTTTACAGGAGATGGCGTGTTTCCTCTGAGAACTGAAAAATAATATTTGAGAATTTAAAGAAAGAGAGAATTACAAAATGATCTGACTTCAGTGTTAGGCATGCTAACATTATTACTGATCAATAAAGTTTTTCTTTTGAGTATTTTTGTCAATGAGAAACAGGAAACACTGAATAAAACTATATTGATTTTGTAATTGGATCCCACTGTTAATGTTATTTTTTTTCTTTGAACTTTTTTATGTAGGTCTATTAAATCTTTCATTTATAGACTTCGTGTTAAATGATTTGTTTCTTTGTCACTTTCAGGTTTTTTTATTAAGCATAGAGCTCTTATATTTCATTACTATTTTTATCTAAGTGATTAAATGTTTCATGTAAATGTTCTTGGTTTTTTAAACTTGTTTTTTTAAACTTGTTACAAATAATTCTGTCGTTTTGGATTTTAACTGTGTTGTGCCTTAGCCTTAATTGCAGGTGAGTATAAAATACTGATTTTGGGGTGAAGCAGTGATTCTTTTTCTGATTATTTGCAACTTCTGTCTTCTCCAGAGAAATGTTAATGTGTTGATGTTTTGAAACTTATTCATGATTTCTAATAGGTTAAATTTGATTTGATGTAAGTAATGCTATACAGTGAGAATACATGGACATATGATACTGAGAAGTACTGTAAATGCTGTGGAGGACTGAATTAGACTTCAACATGATTTTAACAAGTTGGACAAATGCACTGAGTTAAATAGGGTACGATTGAATGGTGGGTCAGAGAAGCATCTGTTCTTAAGACATCTAAAAGTCAATTCTTTCATTCTTGTTAAGACCAGTAAAGTCTTACTGAGAACATTGTTTCTTGATCATCATGCTTTGAAAATGACGTGCACAGGTTGGTTGGGTATCGCTGCTTCTGCCCAGGGGGAAAAAATAGTTTGTTTTTTAATGCATAAAACTGATCCTTAAAAATTTCTGTCCTCAATGTATTATAAAATAATTTTTGAAAAAGACACTAGCCTCTCTAAAGCTATTAAGCTCCTCTTGATTAACTGCTTATACACAGCTTTTGTAAATGTACATATTTTTACATATACACACTGCTAGAAAGCCAGCTTGGGTGCACATGGTATCTTATTTGGTGTTGAAGGAATTCTGATCTTTTTGTATGAGGTGATGTCCTGTTCTAGCCTTAAAAGAACTTGAACCTCAGACTGTCATTTAGACACTGTTCCTTATTTCTACCCAATTTCAGATGCATTTTGTATGTAACTTCATAAAAAGGGTGAAACATTTTAGACTATTCCTGTGTTTAGTATATTTTTTTCTAAAATGATGTAAATGATGTTTCCTTTTCTCCTGGTGAAAGTCTTCTAGATTGAATTTATCAAGACAGTGTTTGTAAACATGATGGAGAAAATCCAGCAGTGATGAAGCAAAGACATTTCTCCTTAAATCTGATAGAATTTTTGCTCCCTCAAGTTAAAAAGAGTTTGGTGCCCTATATCTGCTTGACATTTAGTATGATTTATTTGCAAAAACCGTGTGCCAGAAGCAGCACAGCAAAGTATGTGCTCCAAGATGAAAGAACTGACTTTGGAAGCAGATTTAGATACACTGAAATGTATCTGCACAAGGCAGGATGGGGAGCTCTGTCTGGGCCTCCTTTACAGTTTTTTGTGCATTTTCCCAACTCCTTCAGAAGCTGGTGAGATGAGCCATAATGACTGGGGAAAGTGATGATATGCCATTATTGCTCTAGTGATCATCTTTACAAAATAACTTTTGCAAGTAATTTTTCTCAGGAATTGTTGCTTTCATCACACTCATCCAAAGGAAATACGATGTCAATACTGTTTGCAGATTTTAATGTGATGAAAGGACAACCTCCATGGACATAAAACTGTTTACCTGCTGATCTGGCAGTATTCAAGAAGCCACTTTTCTGAAAGTCTTGCAACACCCAGATTTGAATGAGAGGAAAAGAGGGAATTTTTTTCTTGGCATTTTGCAATTAAACCCTAGTTCTTCCTTCAATAATGTGCCAGATTTAAACTTTAGATATAATTATGCTGATCTAATACTGATAAGCTGTGATAATGTTATTCCCATATCTTGCATGAACCCCATGTATGAGAATGGTATTCAGTCAGCTTAGTTCCTGAGTAATGACTGTGTGGACTGAGGCCTGGAGAGCAGCTCTGTGCAAGTGAGAATCACAGTGATATTCACTTTCCCATGGAGCAGCAACCACTGGCCGTGTCTGACAACCTTGGCTATATTATGCTTAATTCAGCAACACAGATTACTTTGACATGCTGATACACAAGTTGTCCCCTTAGAACGTTCCTGTAGCTGCCACCACCAAAGATTTTTAGTATTAGAACACAAAAGAAATTAGATTTGATTGGCAGCAAATTCAGAAGTTCTCAGATTTAAAGCAAAAGCATAAAAAGAGTAAACCGTATCTTAATAAATCCCACCTTTTACCACCATAGAACAGAATCACTTAGATTGGAAAAGACCTTTGAGATCATTGACTCCATCTATTAACCCAACACTGTCAAGTCCACCACTAAACTATGTCCTTAAGTACCGCATCAACACGTCTTTTGAAGACCTGCAGGATCAACCACAGGACTCAACCACTTCCCTGGGCATCTTGTTCCAAAGCTTGACCACACTTTCCATGAAGAAATTTTTCCTAATATCTAATGTAAACATCCCCTGGCACAACTTGAGGCCATTTCCTCTTGTCCTATCACTTCTTACTAGGGAGAAGAGATCGACTCCCACCTGTCTACAACCTCCTTTCAGGCAGTTGTAGAGAGTGATAAGGTCTCTCCTCAGACTCCTCTTTTCTCCAGGCTAAAAAACTCCAGCTCCTCAGAAATGGGAATTTACTGGTCTTATTAAAGCCAAAAAGAAATATTTACCTTTTGAGAAAGTATTTCCTTGGTGTTTTCTATGCTTTTCTCTTTTTGTTCTCCAAAGGAGTCACCATAAAATAACAGCAGCAACAAAAAAGGTGCTGTTCAGCTGATTTCTTTCCTTTGTTGATTCGGCATTGGATGTGCACACTTTATGGACAAAAATAGAGCTTTTTCTCTTGTTAGTCTGTCCCAACCATAGCTAAGCTGAACAGGCTCAGTTATATTCCCTTGTGTGCTTCACCACCAGCAGTTTTCATTCTGCTCTATCGCAGTGCATGGTCAGTCCTGTGCCATGGTTCAAGGTAAAGCGTGGCTCCCTGGGATTCCCAGCCCATGCCATGGAGCAGCTGCAAGTGTCTTGAAAGGGATATCTGTACACAGGGCGATAATACCAATGCAAAAGGCAATTATGCTGAACATCTGGATGATAAAACCAGTTGTTATCTAAATGATTAAAAAAATAACAGCAAAAAGAACAAAAAGAAAAAACAAGCCTTTTTTTTTTCTTGGCTTCGAGTGCAGTAATTGTTTTGCATTTACAAAGTGAAACAGGCCTCTTTTGCAATAGATAGGCTCTACAGTCTGCTTCTTTCTTCAGCTTAAGTGAGTTTGAGTTGGATTTTAAGAAAGTTAGTGGTATGGATACATTTCTTTTGTTTTTAATATTAATTTTCATAATCAGCCCTAAGAATTGCAAGAGAGGGAGAATTTACTTGATAGCATGGTTCTGCAGATTGTAATTTCTAGTGTTTCAATTGAGACTAGGATTTTCATGCACTTTTTGTATTTTGGCTGCTGTCTAGAAGAGAGGGACAGCTCAACCCCCTGTTGTCCTGCATTTAGAGAGGCAGGCAGAGGTGCTTCTGATCTGCTGCAGAGGAGCTGTCTTTTTGTCAGAAAGCTTTCTTTGGCTTCTTGAACATGAAACTGTTTCAAAACTTTGTGAATTGACCCCTTATACTCCATGCCAGCATCTTTCTCAAAACAGCTTCACAAGTTCTCATGTTGTAGACTAAACCTCCAGAGCAATTATAGTAACAATAAAATGTACATTAACACCCTAATAGTATTATCTTGTCTTCAGAGAGGCAGGGAGGAGATAATTTATATCAAAAACACTTCCATAACTGTAAACTCGAAAGAGACCACAAACTTCCCAGAAGGTAAAGAGAGTTTTATGCTGTTGCGGTTTTGCTGAACTGAAGATTTGCCTGTAGAAAGAATTTTCATTGACTCACCAGGAGATAGCGTGTAATCCATCCAGGTTTTCAAGTGAATTATCTTGTAGTAAATATTGATATAAGCATGGAGTGAGTGGTAGTTATGAATGAACTCCAAGCCAAAGCTGTGTATCTGAGTTTTTCTCCTGTTTGCAATATGTCTGTACAAAGTATGGCAGTATACTTAATTCTGTAAGCTGCACTACTGCAAACCTTCCAAAACTTTGTTTCATATCTCAGCCACTCCAGACAAAATCACACAGTTGTTAGATTAGTGTAATAAAAACATTTAATTTGGTGTTTGGCTAAATCTAAGATTCCCTTGCCCCCCTTTCAAAAAAGTTAAATATGCTGTGTTTTCAGCTTTCAACCTTGTATGTTGACTTGACAACTTTCCTTCGTAAGCACGGAGAGACTCCTGAAGATACATTTTCAAAGCTGGTCAAACAGTGGCAAAAAAAAGGAGAAAATAATAATATTGACAATACTCATATACAGGCGGTATTTAACATCTCAATTTTCAGAAGAGATGGCCATCAGGTTTTAGATCTTTTACTCAGGGTTGACATTTTTTAAATTGCTCAGATTTAAAGAGAAACACTTGAGCTGCTTGTTCTGTGTTCTGTTAATTAGTGATATTATTATGATTAGCCTGTATGGGCAAACAGCTGCCGGCAGTACCGCCAGAAAGCGTTCACAGCATTCAGGCATGACTGTCAGGCAGATCCGTGCAGCTGGTGGCTATGTGCTGATTCAAGAAAATAAAGGTAATTGTTACTTTTGGAATCCTGTGCTTTTCAGTCCT